GAACCCAGGAAGCAGAGGTTGTAATGAGCCAAGATCGTGCCACTGCACTCCAGCCACTTGAACACCAGGCGAGAGTGAAACTCATCTCTAAAACAAACAAACAAACCCTTGTAACAAAGCTGAGAGGTAGGGGGTCTGCATATTACCGAAGAGGAAACAGTGGCTTAGAAAATTCAAATACCTGCCAAGGCCACACAGCTAGTAAGTGGCAGTGCCAAGCCCCTCCCACTATTCACTCCTTACAGAGGGGCAGTACCCACCCCCACTCACTTGCCCGTCCTGCCATCCCACAGCTTGATGGACTTGTCGAAGGAGGCACTAGCCACGATGCGGGAGTCAGGAGAGAAGAGCACCTGGTTGATGAGAGCTTGGTGTCCTGTCATCCGAGTGAGAGGCTTTTTGTCCTCTGCTGGGGACCACAGGAATAAGGTGAAGTCATCTGAGCCAGACACCAGCCTCTCTGGACCGTGGCCCTAGGGGAGGCAGAAAGCACACTGTGTTGGGTGTGGTCTCAGGAAGAAGGAGGGCCCGACTTTGGCAGCAAACATACATCCTGATTACTCAATGCCAGGGACAGAGAGAGGCCAGCACTAGAAGCAATGAGGACTGGGTTGGCCACTCACTCGCACGTGATCCCAGGCAAGTCACTTCATCCAAAAGGCAAAAGAAACTACGTGCATGTAGAAAAATATTTTTAAGATACACAATTACAGAAAAAGCAAGGCACAAAATAATGTGTTAAAAGGAGTAGGATTTTATGTATGTACGTATGTGTGTGTGCTTATACATACATACTGTATATAGACACGTGTATGTGTGTATATTAAATCTCTGGAAGGTGATTCAGGATATTGGTAGCACTGGATGCTACAATAGAGATGGGAGACTCCGTGATCTACCTTTTTGTATTTTTTGAACGTGAATGTGTAAACAATCTTAAATAAAACAATAAACTAAAATAAAAAAGAAGCATGTTGGAAATATAATAAATAGGTAAGCAAATAAACTAAACAAAAAATGAAATAAAATGATCTCTAGCACATTAATATTTTAGGACTGCAAACTAGGATTATGAAGAACAACTTTTTGGAACAGGTACATTCTGAGCTGGGTCTAAAAGGGAGAAGGGTCTGAGAGGGTTTTAGTGATTGGCTAAGGACTGGTAGAGCTGGGGGTGCATGTGGCTGGCACACACTCACCCGCACGAGGTTGTATCGGCTCAGAGCCCTCTCCTTCAACTCCTGCACTGTGTCCAGGTACCAGAGGGGAGAAGAGGAGATGAGGAAGAAGGCTGATTAGAAAATCTGATACAAAGAGCAAACACTCCCCATTAAGCTAGAGAACTGGCTCCTTCCCAAGCAGCCCCAGCTCTTCCTTCTCCCAATCACTCACAGGATCCTTGGAGGTCTTGGGCATTAACTGAGGCCTCAGCAGGTTCAAAGGCCCCGGTGCGCAGGGCATAGTCAGTGCTGAGGGCCATGGTGTTCACCCAGTGGCCGTGGCCTTGCAGAGTCCGGCACAGCACACCCTAGGGCAGAGCGAGTCAGGTCAGACACACACACTCCTCCCCATCCCTGGGAGATTAGCCTCAGGAGATGGGTGGTACAGGACTAAGAATCATCTTCACTCATGCATTGTGATCTTAATCAAACCACCCCTCTGGGGTCAAATCTGTCCCCACTTGTAAAATGGAGTCCAGATCATGAAAATGTTTCACGGAAGGGGAGTTAGGTATGTCAGAGTAAACAGCTCCAGTCCAATACGTTTGGGATATGGTAGATCTGACAAAGCTCAACAGGTGTCCTACAGGAGGAATTTCCGGAGTGGGACGATCTCATGGGGACTCTGCAATCTCCACTATGGTGCAGCACCAACCACAGAACTCCTCATTCCCAAAACACCTCCCTTGACCAGGGCTGCCAGCACACATCTGGGAAACACTGGACTCGCAGATGTCAAGGTTGTTCTGAGTGCCAGCATCTTGTGACGTGAGATTTTCTGGACTGGTTACTGAACCCTCCCAGTGCTTACGTCATGAGCCCTCCAGACTTTGATGGTGCGGTCCTGGGAGGCAGAGTAGAGAAGCCCGTCCCCTCCCCACCGGAGACAGGTGACCGACTGGGTGTGCCCGGTGAGGATGCGCTCACAGCGGCCTGCAGTTGTGTCCCAGATCCGCACACTGCCATCCTTGGAGCTGCTGGCCACATAGCGGCACTCAGGGTTCCTGCAGAGAAGGGAGATGTGACCTCATCTGTGACCTGGCAACATCTGTCTGCCCATGGCACCTCCCCATTCCCAACTCAAAGGCCATGGACAATCTCTTGACAGCTTTCTGACACCAAGACCTGGCTGCACTGCAAGGTGGTTGCAACGAGCAGATCCTGTGATGAGCAGCCTCTCCCAAGCAGCAACGCAGGTCCGCACCTGGAATACCCTTCTCCCATGCCTGACAAGCCATCATGGTCATTCAGCTCATGCCCATCTCGTCCCCTCACGTAAAACTTCTATGCATTGGGCAGGGAAAGGGGATGTCTCTGATCCCCTGACTCATTTGTCCCAGCTCCATCAGTGTCACTTACGCATGGAGGGGCTCCCAGCTCAGGCCTGTGATCCACTTGCTGTGGCCAGCGAGGGTCCTGCCCACCTGCTTCCCTGTGCTTGGGTCCCAGAGGAGAATCTGAAGGATAGAAGTTCACTGAATAATCCTCCCCAACAGGTCTCTGGCTCCACCAAAAATCCCTGCCTACCACTTCCCACCCAACCCTCCCCGAAGACTCCTGAACCTGATTCTGAACTGTCCCCTAGGGAAGGCGCCCTTGAGTCTCTGCCTAGTTAACCTGAGCACCACCTACCTGGCCATTCTTGCAGCCTGAGGCCAGCTTCTTGCCATCTGGAGACCACGATATACTAAGGACCCAGTGTCTGTGTCCTAAGAAAGCAGAGAAGGGAGAAATAAGGGACTACATCTGTCTTTATTCCCAGTGCCCAGCAGTGCCTGGCAGGTGCCAGGTACTCCTTAGTCATTTGAATAAATGAATGATCGAACAAAAGGAGCGATGAGGCTTTCTGGGGATGGAGAGAATGCAACCCAAGTGTTAGAGCTCTGCATCTTGCTGCATGGATAACACCATCACTCTCTAATGATTCCTTATGTGACACATACTATGAAGTGTTTTCGTACATGTCATCCCTTGTTATTCTCACAAGGGTTCTAAGGTATGGAGCAAAGCAAGAAGTATCATCCCCATTTTCCAGACCAGAAGACTGAAGCTTAGAAAGGGAACATGCCCTACACACACAAGTTCACTCAACCAATCTGTGGTATAGCAGTGGTTCTTCAAGTGTGGTCCCGAGAGCAGC